GTTTGCTGGTTATGATTATGCTGTCTACATGTGTGTATCAATTTTGTAGTTGAAGTTATGAATATTGGCTCTATACTGTCTGTATTTCAAACTTATGCTATGCTTCTGGGAGACATCCCAGACAAGTTGGTGTTAGCTCTGCCTAGCCTGCTTGATGGCCCATTAAGGACCATCAGCTATACAATTGACCCATTGAGAGAAGGCAGTACGCCTTGCAACTCAGCAAAGTATGCAGGGACTGGTCCACATGACTCCAGACTCCATTTTGCTGTAATTTTCCACAGTAAGGACAAAGAGGTGTTCTTACACCTGGAAAAGACTATAAAAGGCTGATGCCTCATCTCCATCTTGTCTTCAATCCTGCTTCTTACCTCTGAGGGACTTTGCTACAAACGGAAGCTCTACACAAAGTACTGAATGACCCATCCCAGCTGTGGATGTATTCCAGAGACTTGATTTGAACCTGCAGTTCATTCTATCACTGCTACAAGCCTGAACCAAGAACTTTGCCATTACAGTGTGTAATTGATTCCATTTAACCAATTCTAGCTCTCATCTCTATCTTTTTCCTTTTATGAATAAACCTTTAGATTTTAGATTCTAAAGGATTGGCAACAGCATGATTTATGGGTAAGATCTGATTTGTATATTGACCTGGATCTGGGGCTTGGTCCTTTGGGATCGAGAGAACCTTTTTTTTCTTTTACTGGGGTATTGGTTTTCATAACCATTCATCCCCATAACGAGTGGCACTGGTGGTGATACTGGGAAACTGGAGTGTCTAAGGGAATTGCTTGTGTGACTTATGGTTAGCCAGTGGGGTGAGACCAAAGTCCTCTTTGGCTGGTTTGGTTTGCCTTAGAGGTGGAAAAACCCCAGCCTTGGGCTGTAACTGCCCTGCTTTAAGCAATTTATCCTGAATTGGCACTCTCAGTTGGATCCCGCCAGAACCAGCATCATTACACCTACTCAGCGGAATAGCTTGCTTTTGGGCCCTTAGTGTCCCTTTGAAAAACTGCCAACTCTCCTCAGTTGTTTTTCCCCTCAGTTTTGAGTCCCATGGGACCTTACCTATCAGCTCTCTGAGCTTACCAAAATCCACCTTCCTGAAATCCATTGTCTATATTTTGCTGTACACCCTTCTACCCTTCCATAGAATTGTGAACTCTATGATTTCATGATCACTTTCACCCAAGCTGACTTCTCCTTTCAAATTCTCAACGAGTTCCTCCCTATTTGTTAAAATCAAGTCTAAAACAGCTTCTCCCATAGTAGCTTTTTCAACCCTCTGAAATAAAAAGTTGTCTGCAATGCAGTCCAAGAACTTATTGGATGGTCTGTGCCCCGCTGTGTTATTTTCCCAACATATATCTGGATAGTTGAAGTCCCCCATCACTACCAAATCTTGGGCTTTGGATGATTTTGTTTGTTGTTTAAAAAAAGCCTCATCCACCTCTTCCACCTGGTTATGTGGCCTGTAGTAGACTCCTAGCATGACATCACCCTTGTTTTTTACTCCTTTTAGCCTAACCCAGAGACTCTCAACACTTCCGTCTCCTATGTCCATCTCCACCTCAGTCCAAGTGTGTACATTTTTAATATATAAGGCAACACCTCCTCCCTTTTTTCCCTGTCTATCCTTCCTGAGCAAGCTGTACCCATCCACACCAACATTCCAATCGTGTGTTATCCCACCAAGTTTCGGTGATGCCAACAATGTCATAGTTGTATTTATTTATTAGCACTTCCAGTTCTTCCTGCTTATTACCCATACTTCTCGCATTTGTATATAGGCATCTAAGATACTGATTTGATCTTGCCTCCCAGTTTTGCCCTGACCCTCCTTTCTCTCTGCCATTATGGCCCACGTTCCTTCCTATTTCCGACCATCTCCCAGGTCTCCATGTTCCCCACTTACCTGTGGGCTTTGCTCACCTGTCCCCGTCGAACCTAGTTTAAAGCCCTCCTCACTAGGTTAGTCAGTCTGTGTCCAAATAGGGTCTTTCCCTTCCTCGAAAGATGAACGCCATCTCTGCCTAGCAGTCCTTCCTGGAATAGCATCCCGTGGTGGAGGAAGCCAAAGCCCTCCTGGTGACACCATCTTCGCAGCCAGGCATTCACCTCCACGATGCACCTGTCTCTGCCCGGGCCCCTACCTTTGACAGGAAGAATCGAAGAGAATACCACCTGCGCTCCAAACTCCTTCACCCTTACTCCCAGAGCCCTGTAGTCGCTCTTGATCCACTCAGTGTCACACCTTGCAGTATCATTTGTGCCCACATGGATGAGTAGCATGGGGTAGTGGTCAGTGGGCTGGATAATCCTTGACAATGCCTCCGTAACGTCTCGGATACGGGCCCCCGGCAGGCAGCATACCTCCCGAGATGAAATGTCAGGGCGACAGATGAGTGTCTCCATCCCCCTCAGAAGAGAGTCTCCGACCACCACTACCCTACGTTTCTATTCGCAGTGGTGGCAGCAGACCTCCCAGCCTTAGGGGTACGAGGCTTCTCCTCCTCTACTGTAGGGGGTGATTCCTTTTCTGCTGTATCAAGAAGAGCATAACGGTTACCTATTACCACGGTGGGAGGGTTCGGGGCAGGGGTGGTGCACTGCCCGCTGCCAGAAGTAACCAGCTGCCAGTGTCCACCCTGAGCCATCTCCTCCTCCACCAGTGGTGTGTCAGCAGTCCTGTGTACTGGGACAGCTACCTCAGCTGTCTCCACATGGACACTGTCCAGGAATTGCTCATGGATCCGGATGCTCCTCAACCTAATAAAATAAATAATAGATGTTCTGCTGACTTGGCAGCACTGAATTTTTTGAGTTTTTTGCCTTTTGTTCCTTTAAAAGGGCAGCATACACATAAGCCTGAATACACGTTAGCTAAATTAACATCTTTAGACCTGACTGATTCCTTTGGAGCCATTATGGACTATTATTTCAGCCATCTACAGACTGAGAAATCTCTGAGCAGGACTCTTTACAGTAGCAGAGATATTAGTGTTTGAGTCAAGAATCCATATACTAAACTGTGTCCAAAAGGGCCTAGATGTGTCAAATTGTAATATAAAAGTCCCTAAGTATAAACTTATACAAACACCCATAAAGCCAGGGGCCAATATAGCTAAGGTTGAGGTCAGTACCATAAAACGGTCTATCATAAATGTGATCATACTGTATTTCTAAAAGGTATATTTTGTCAAGTAGCAATATCTTCATTTTAGAGATCTGTAAATACATAATTATATTCTTCACTTGTAAAATATATGTACACAATATTTCCATATGCCTAGTTATTAATATGGGCCTTAGAACTGTAATATCTGAGCATTTCCAAAGTATTTAAGAATAGAAATAACAATCTCATTCTTCCTTTCTAGCTTGTAGGAGACATAGCTTGCTTAGTTTATAGGATTTATTTGTTTCTGTGTGAAAGAGCGTGTGTATCTGTGTATGTAAAGAACTTATTCAGGACAAATTAAGTCAAAGAAAGGAGTATTGAGTTAAATTTGAAAGTGGTGAGGTACACAGACACTCTTTTGTAGGAGTAAGTTCCAGAGACTTGGTCAAGCTGCTGTGAAAGTTCTGTTTCCTGCACTCTCAAATCTCCCCCTTTTAGTCAACAATTTTTATTTTTCTGTTGAAATGTAGCTGTTGTGGACGTTCATGCTCATGGAGCACAAAGCGATCTCTTAGACAGCTAGCATTATTCCTATGGAGGGACAGAGATTTCAGACTTGACTATTAACGGTGGTAACCTGTATGTGTTGCTAAGCTGATGGGCTGCTATGTTTTATACCATTTAGAGTATGTGTCTCCACTAGGAGCTGGGGTGTGATTCCCAGCTTGAGGAGACATATGTGCACTAGCTCCCATCAAGCTAGTGCACTAAAAATAGTGTAGCTGCAGTAGCACATGCAGCAGCAGGAGGGAGTAGCAGCTCTGAGTACAAACCTGTCCAGACCCTGTGAGTACGTTCTTGGATGGCTAGCCCAAGCTGCTGCCTTTGCTACCATGGCTACACTACAATTTTTGGCAATGAGTGCTAGCATATTTCTCCTGGCGGTGGGAACCACACCAGAGTTCTGACTATAGACATACCAACAGAGCTTTATGAGGTGTAGCTTCATTACTAGATAGGAATCTCAGTAATAAAGTCTGGAAGTCATAAATATGGGGGTTATTATGGCTGTGTATTGGAGCTAAAATGTATACTTTGGTAACTCTGTTTGGGACAGTGACTGTGTCTAACTCTGTCTGTACAATGTGTTGTATAATAGGGCTCTGAACCTGAATTGGGCTGTGGATGCTACCACAGCATAAAAGTTTAATAATAATAATAATAATAAATAATAATAACAATAAATTAATAAATGCTTGCCCTGAATTCAATTCTCAGGCTTTGCAAGCAAACACCACTCTTAATTTTGAATTCGGTTAACTCCAACAGCTAAAAGGAATAATTCCTGCCTTCTTCCACAGCCCCCTCTTTTCTTTCCTCAACAAACCCTGCCCCCATTACAGTAAATATAAGATAAAGTCTCTGGTGTTCTTGGAGCCTGTTGGGGTTGAAAGCAGGGATAGGCAGGCTTCAGGGAGGGGATTCACTAACTTCATTGGTGTATAAATATCCTCCATCTGTGGTTCTGGAATATATTGCACTCCAAGCCATCTTTCATTCACCTTAATGTATTTATCCTCAAAATAACCCTGTGATATATGGAAATAGTATTATCCTATTTTAAAACTGGAAAACCAAGGCTCAGAGGGTTTAGCATTTTTAGCAATGCTATAGCACTGCTAAAATAAAATATATAGAGATTTTTATATAATAAAAATTCATTGCTCAAATAAGAGTGGTAGTGTTTTGTTGACTTCATTAAACAGAATAAAAAGGCTTTGAGACACTGTCAAGTAAATCCTACCAATAAGTTTGCTCTGTATTTTAAAATTTAACGAGTCTCTTAAAATAAACATTCTTTACATTTAATTCCCAGGAGAATATCTCTGGCCACTCCCAGACAGCTTTATAAGTCCTCCAACATGACTCAGCGCTGGCAGCGACGGGAGATTTCTAACTTTGAATACTTGATGTTCCTCAATACTATAGCAGGTAAGGTTCTAACTCTTTAATCCCTCATAATATGTTTATGTTTGTCAAAATCTTGAGTACCGTGACTTGATAGAATATATTTATCCCTCTGGAATTCAGCTGCAGTTTTATGATAGATTCTGAAACACTCACATTAAATTTTATCAGAAAATGCACAACCTATCACTGAGGGTTTAGATTCATTTATTGTTGTGAAGGTTGTTCCTTGCTCTGCTTCTGCCATTTCCTCTGCTGACAGCTTTGTCTGAAGCTTTATTAGAGTCAACAAACCATTGCCAGAGAGTGTCTGGAAATAATAATGGGAAAATGTAATTTCGCTACTTCGTCATTCTCAGCAACAGCAACTAGACAGCAGAATAACAACAGTATTCCGCCTAGTACAGTTGTCACCTGGATTGTGGTATGATTAGTTTACAGCATCTTTTCTCTTTTAGTTCTTTGTACTGAATTATAATATCAGATTAGGTATTTAAAATGAGAAATAACTTCCATAGATAGCCATTCTTTATTAGTAAAATAAGAGTTTTTCTGGCATTTGTCACTAATTAAACAGTAATTGTGGCAATCCCACTTCCATCTTCCTGTTTTCTATGTATTGGTAACAGGAGTGATTTGAAAAGTAAAAAAGATGCAGCTTTCTGAATGATATACAAAAAATGTACCAAATGTTGGTCATTGTTATTTCTCCAGCAGCATATCTCATAAATTGCTCATGAATCTCACCATAGGGAAACTTTCTCATGTATCCCACAGCAATGAGCTCTAATTGGGAATAAAATTAACTCCACCGAGCATATCAACATCACTTTGTACTCCAGTGTTGCAGTTGACACACCGCTTGACTTAGTTTTCATTTTCATGCTTGAGATGGTTCTCCCTAATATGTTCCTCAGGCCAGAGAGCTGAAGGAACTCATGTATCTAAAACCAGGTTTAACACCTCACCTGTTCATTTCCTCTGACTAGAACTGGGTGAATTTTTTCACACCAATAATCTATTTGCCAAAAAAATGCCGACCAAAACCATTCACAAATCCAACATGAATTCACCAAATAATTTTGGCTCCAAAAATTTTTTTTTTTGGGGTGGGGGGAGGGCTAGATTCACAAGGAGATGTAGGCACCATTCACAAAATCACTGGAGAAGCAGGAGGAAAATATGGTGGTTATACTGTGTGCCCCTTTTGCCCAATAGTTCAGTGATTAGAGCACTTATCCAGGAATCCCAGGATCAAATCCCAGTTCTGCCAGATGTGAGGCAAAGACTAGAACCTAGATCTTCCACCTTCTAAGTGAATGCCCTAACTGCTAGGCTATAGGAAGATATTATGGAGTAGGTCTCAATCTTTCCTGTTGAAACTTTTCCACTTTCTTTGTATAAATAATTAAATATTAACTGGAGTAGGGAATGGAACCTGTGTGTCCCCTTTCTCAGGTGGGTGCCCTAATCACCAGGCTCTAGTGTCATTCTCTCAGTCTCTCTATGATTCAATAAATATTAAAACCACATCCACCCCTGAATTGGCCTTCAACATCGGTTCTCCACTTGTAAGGTAACTCCCTTCTCTTCATGTGCCAGTATATATTTATGCCTGTATCTGTAATTTTCACTCAATGCATCTGAAGAAGTGGATTTTTTTACCCACAAAAGCTTATGCCCAAATAAATCTGTTAGTCTTTAAGGTGCCACCGGACTCCTCATTGTTTTTGTGGATACAGACTAACATGGCTACCCCTCTGATACTTTCTTCCTAGGCAGTCATTTCCCATTTTGTGTGTGTCCAGCTGACTGTTCCTTCCTAAATGGAGTACTTTGCATTTGTCCTTATTGAATTTCATCCTATTTACTTCAGCCCATTTCTCCAGTTTGTCCAGATCATTTTGAATTTTAATCCTATCCTCCAAAGCACTTGTAACCCCTCCAAGCTTGGTATCATCTGCAGACTTTATAAGTGTACTCTCCATGCCATTATCTAAATTATTGATGAAAATATTGAACAGAACCGGACCCAGAACTGATCCCTGCGGGACCCCACTCGTTATGTCCTTCCAGCATGACTGTGAACCACTGATAACTACTCTCTGGGAACGGTTTTCCAACCGGTTTTGCACCCACCTTATAGTAGCTCCATCTAGGTTGCATTTCCCTAGTTTGTTTATGAGAATGTCATGCGAGATGGAATCAAAAGCTTTACTAAAGTCAAGATATACCACGTCTACCACTTCCCACACATCCACAAGGCTTGTTACCCTGTCAAAGAATGATAGTGGACACACTCCAAAGCTCCTTTTTAAAGCATGTTCTTGATAAATCACTGTACATTATTAATCAGTTTTGAAATGCCCACTCATTTATGCTTACAGATATCACCAACACATCTAGACTTGGAAGACATGATTATGTCTGAAGTGGTATAGAAATCACAGTGATATTATACTGACAGTTGTCTCCCTCAGTAGACAAGCTCCAAACTTCAAAGACCTCTTTAAAGTATCCCAAGGGTTTCCAGTAAAGTTGTTATTTAACCTGTAGTTAAAGACTACCTCAGCTAGACCGGCTTTTTTATTAGTCATTTGGGTGGGGACTTAAGGAAGGTTTCTCTGTAATTGGTTTCACATCATTCAACTCCCTTGTAACAGTGTGGCCCTACATTTACACTCTAGATACCCAGCTGCTACTGAATGCAAGATTTGAAGAAATACTGGTTTGTTTTTCTTATTTTTGCTTGTCTGTGTGCTTGTGTTTTCTTCTTCTTTCCTTTTTTTGAACACAGAATTGATCGCTACTTTGATGGTGTCTTTTTGTGATGTGACACACCTGTACTCACCCAGCTGTGAATTCATCAAATTTCTGAAAGCTTGCAAATTCTGTCTGCCTCAGGCTATGTCTACACTACACAGCTTTTAGTGACATGGCTGTGTCTCTTCAACCATGCCACTAAAAGTCATGCAGTGTAGGCGCCGTTTGTCGGCTCTCCTGCAGACAAAAAACGTCCACCCCCAACTAGTGGAGTTTGCGTTGTCAGCAGAAGAGCGCTCCTGCCGACAATGCACTGTTCACACTGGTGCTTGTTGCAGCAAAACTTTTGTCTTTCAGGGTGGGGGGGAGGGGTTAACACCTCTGAAAGACAAAAGTTTTTTCGTTCAATTGCCAGTATAGACATAGCCTCACAATCTCACTGTGCAGTAGATGCAGTGCTTCTTGTCTAACCAAATGTTTCCCACATTTTGATGATTAATATCCAACTTTAATTAAGCCTTTCTGTAATAGACATTCAAACTAAAATTTAGATAAGGGATGTTTCATCTGCATGTAATATTGCCTAACCTGTGTAAAGATCTAGGTCTTCAGAAGAAGATAAGCTATGTTCCCTGATCCTTTTGGTCAATCTTAGATTGACTAATGTATTTCTTAACTCTCTCACCCTTGCTGATGACGTCTTGATGCCACACATGTTAACACAATTTGTATTTTTCACGTGGGGAGCCAATGTGCTGATTAGTAAAGGATTCAAAGAAGACCATAATGCATGTTATGTTAAATGAGTTCCCTTCATTAGCTCCTGTGCACACTACCCAGAGTAGGATGTGAATAGGGTGTTAAGCAATTAATGTTTGAGGAGCTTTCCCGTTTCATGCAGCACATTAATTAAAGCTGCTCCTTCTCTGAAACCTGTCTGCATTGCTTGGAACTACTGCCAGAGTCTTCCTTAATGATCTACAAATTCTCTAATCACTTTTCACTTTTCCAAGTTGGGTAATGTTAGCCTTTGTGCTGTGCTGGAAATGTGGTACCACCATACCGTCTCCTAACCCCCCCCCCCCAAAGGTACTTAAGAAAAGGCCAGATCCTTCCTATGGGGCTGGGAGCAAACACTAGTGTTTTCTTTGTTGAAAATGGCTCATTCCAGCCTTCATACACTGTAGTCCTATCACCTCTTATAGTCCTATAACTCTTGCGACATGATAAATCTTCTTAATCTCTTCTATAACAGCTGTCAAATGGTGCAAAATTATTATGAAATAGGCGCGGCCTTCCATGCAAAGTACATATGAAAAACCACAAATGCATCTGCATCACTGTGAAATCATGTTTATCTTGCTTTCTTACATTTTGAAAGTTCATTTAGTAAGTAGCAAAACTGTTAATTTACAGAATACATTTCAGTTCCAAAAGCTGTTATATTCTCTGCCTTCTCTTCTGCTGCTCATAGAATGTTCTCAATGTTTTGTCTTGAAAGAGAGAATAACATTTATCTTTGACAGCCTAATCAACTGCTCAGTTCAAAAAGAAACTATAGACTTAAAAACGTGTGGGAATGCCCTTGCCTACAAAACATTTTCCCTACATTGAAAACAGTAGAGATGATAACTGTCCAAATGCACAAGGTTCAAGCAAAAGATATAGCCAATGCTGGCAGGAGAGCACCTTCAACAAGCTCTGTGAGTCAGTCAATTAAAACAAAATGTGATGTGTGCAATTTCATAGGCAACTTTGGAACATTTAATATAATTATAAAATCTTGTGGTAAAGATGATGTCTTGCTAAATAGAGACATTGCATATTTTATTTGCTTTCTCTCTGAAAGTGTGATTTCTAACACTCTTTTACTTTTAGATTTATAGTCCTTCACAGTGGAAACAAATATGAAATATTTGTTTTAAAGGTGCAAGCTTTTTTACCCAGAATGTTCATGCAGACAGTGATGGGCTAGTTTTAGACCATTAGCTGTTTGTTTAAATGGCACCATCCTGTTTAATATCCTCATCTTTAACCACTGAGAGATATACCCCCCATTAATTCTTTTTTTCTGTCACTGTGCATCTGCTAACTGACTTGTTCATTTCATCTGAGTCACACGTTAGCCACTTAAGTAGCATGGATGTTTGCCAAATTGTATCCTGGTAAATAGTTCACAGCTCTTTTGGTTATATTTCCTCTTCTCACAAACAATAGATTTCAACTAGCAAGTATTTTTGTTACTTCTTTTGTCCACTCTT